TTTGTTTTTTCTGCATTAAGAATATGGCATCCATGTATTCAGGGGGAGTCGACGTTCCACCAGGGCAAATTTCAAATGCTTGGCAACATGTTTGTGACCCAAAACGTTGTCTTTAACTAAGCTAAAGAAAGTTAGCTTGTCAGACATACATTACTTGAAAGAACACAGGAGTAGTTTTAATGCTGCATTGTTTTTGCTCATGTATTAATGCACGTTTTGTAAAATTGTGTGTTTTGTCATCCCACGTGCAAAGGACCAGATGTTTGGCATTACACAGAAATAAAACTTGTGATCAAAACAAGGAGGGGTTTAAGTGAACTGCATCTAATACGAGTTGGATTTATCCCAGTGGCGAATTTGCTGGAGATGAAAATAAAGTTAGGAGTGATTTTCCCTGTTGTTTGCCACTGCTTCCACCATTTGCTATCGCTGAGCTTTTACAGCTTCACGTCCATTTTATCTTGAAAAACCGCATCCCCTACATGTTCTCCTATCAGCTATCGAAGAGATGCACTACAACTAAAACCTGAGAGCGTGTAATGCCATGTAGAAGTCAAAGGTGGCTGCATGTTTTCTTGGTAATATCTGTCTGTTAAATGAATCGGTGCAGACAGTCGATACGACAGAAGAGCTCCACAGGTTAATGTGTTAATTTGTGTGATTTAACAAGATCTTTTGCATTGAAACTGCTAATCTAGTCATACTACTGCCAAGCATGCACCGTCCTTGTAGCGCTTCTTGGACCCAAATTTGGCCTGCACTTGGACTGTCACAAAGTTGGGAAGATGGTAGAAATTCAGGAAATGATACAGCCTCTTCTCACAGCAAAGCTTGATTTTAAGCACCATTTGTTTTCCTGGCACATGCGCAGTATGGACAATTTTTGGCAGACATCCACAAAAGATTCTACGGTGACCCTCAAGGACCTGAGTGGATGAAAAAAAATACTTCAAGCATTAAATACTGAGAAAAGCAGGACTTGGACTGGCCTTATGGTTTGGTCATGCTTCTGCAAGTAAGCGAGGGATCGCAAGACATCATTTTCTGCCCAACTACACAAGCGTTTGCCCAGACTCCAGAAATGTGTATTTGCACGGTAACTTTGCTACGAAACAGCAAAGACTGCAATCACCGACTGAAATACATATCTTCCAGGCCTGGCTCATCCACATTGAGACCGACTTTATCAGCTTATCCTCTTGTCCGTGGACTGTGGAAACTTGGCGCACACAGGATTCACACACAGATCACATGCTTTGACCTGGCCTAAACTATGAACACAC